ATATGACTTACCGACCAGGATTTTAAGAGGACACTGGGAGGCTATTGATCAAAAACAACTGCGCAGTGATTCAGACAGAGAAATCAGAACTTAAATGCTTGAGTAAAGTTTATATTATAATTCCTGATAAGGAAACCCGTTGTAAAAGTATACAGTATAATTTGAGTGGTAATGGCAAAAAGGAAAATTGAAAGAGTGTCATAAAATTTTTATAAAAGCTGAGATATTTGTGAAGGAGAAATGTTCTTATATGTAGATACAGATATAATAAAGATTTATTATTATCATAATAGAACTGTAAACTGCTTAGTTGCGGAAATATGTAGGGACTTACTGATTTTCTTTTAATTTCATGCTCGATGTAACATCACACTGTGATCTCAAGGCTTTTAAAAAATATTTTCACATAAAAATTATCTTTCTCCATTTTTATGGATATCATAAAAAAAATAATGATTAAATTGTGGATTAGATACGCATTCACTCATAATACAAAAAAACAAGATGTGTTTGTGAAACACTGATGCCCCCGTATGGCAACATAGCAAAGATTAAACTTTTCTTAAATGCAAATTTAATGGTACCAAAAGTAGGGTATTCTCACTGGAAAACAATTGTGAAATTTGAAAGTAGGCCAATGTTAAAGTTTTTTCAATCAGTGCAAAATCTCCAAGGTCAAGGTCAAAGAGTCAAGGTAATTGGTATCCAATGAAAGATCTTGCCACATAGAATACTTATGTATCTAGTATGGAAGCCTTAGCCCTAACCGTTCAGAAGTTATGGCCAATGTTAAATTTTTTTTTGAAGTAGGTCAAACGCTAAGGTCAAGGTCAAAGGGTCAAATTTCTTGTTAGCAAATGAAAGGTCTTGTCACAAGAATTAAATATGTAAAGTATGAGAGCATAGCCTTAACCCTTTAAAATTTATGGTCAAGGTTTGCTTTTTTAAAGTAGGCCAAACTCAAAGGTCAAGGTCAAAGGATAAAAGTGCTTGGTATCCAATGAAGGATCTTTTCACAAGAATTACATATATAAAGTATGAAAGCCCTATATCTTACCGTTCAAAAATTATGGCCAAGGTTAAAGTTCTTCACAAGTACAGAAATCTACAAGGTCAAGGTCAAAGGGTCAAGGTTGTTGGTATCCAATGAAAGGTCTTTCAACAAACATTAAATATGTGAAGTATAAATGTCCTGGTATCTACTGTTCAAAAGATATGGCCAAAGTAAAAGTTTAAAATTTTCATGTAAAAGTGGGTCAAACTCCAAGGTCAAGGTCAAAAGGTCAAATTTGGTGGTACCCAAAGAAAGGTCTTGTCACAAGGAATACACATATGAAATATGAAAGTCATAGCTCAACTAAATCAAAAGTTATGGGCAAGGTTAAAGTTTTTGCGGACAAACAGAGAGACAGAGAGACAGACAGAGAGACAGAGAGACGGACGGACACGACAAAAACTATATACCCCCGAAACTACAAGGTCAAGGTCAAAGGGTCAAGGTTGTTGGTATCCAATGAAAGGTCTTTCAACAAACATTAAATATGTGAAGTATAAATGTCCTGGTATCTACTGTTCAAAAGATATGGCCAAATAAAAGTTTAAAATTTTCATGTAAAAGTGGGTCAAACTCCAAGGTCAAGGTCAAAAGGTCAAATTTGGTGGTACCCAAAGAAAGGTCTTGTCACAAGGAATACACATATGAAATATGAAAGTCATAGCTCAACTAAATCAAAAGTTATGGGCAAGGTTAAAGTTTTTACGGACAGACAGACAAACAGACAGAGAGATTAACTGACGGACACGACAAAAACTATATACCCCCAAAACTTCGTTTACGGGGGCATAAAAATTCACGAAAATGCAAGTTTACAATATACTGTGTTGTACTTTAGCAATTTGTCTAATTCTAAATATATACCGGGTATTGTCATGAGTACATTTTGTAAACAGAATAGAATTTTAACGTTCTACAAAGTTATACTTTTACTTATTTTTTAATCGAAGCATTGTCACCCGGCTTAAAAATTTCGTCAGCTATGGGAATAGGGAATAAAATGGGTACGGCATAAATACTGCATAAGCAAATTTTCTTTTGAGAAACAAAAGTGAAATCACATCAATTCTCTTATTACGCGAGTTCGTTCTCTCGGACCAGCCGAATTTCTTCTGGGCCATGACTACGACGAAAATCGAATTTCTTGAGGCCCCAATCTCTATGGAATAATCCATGCGCGGATCTAGAGGGGGGGGGTCGGAGGGGTCAGGACCCCCCCCCTGGAATTTACCATGTTAAAAAATGTATATACTAAAACAAGAAAAAAGTTACCATGGACCCCCCTGGAAAACGCTGCCCCCTCCCCCCCGGTAAATGTGAATATTTGTGAAACATTCGTGGGGGGGGGGGGGTGACGTTTGGGCGAGTTTAGGTTTTTTTTTTTGCTTGTCAAGAAATTTCTGGGATTGGATTCTTTTCTTTTTTTTTTGACTGGGGTGGACCCCCCCCCCCCCCTTGGAAAATTTCTGGATCCGCGCCTGTAATCTTTCGATCATTACTAAGAGTAATCATTCAAATCGTATAGAATGAAATGTGAAGATTTAACGGACTATGATGAAGGTCAAAATTTCACTTGGATAATTCAAATTATATAAGCAGAACAACCAGGGACCTCTGTTCAAAAACCGAGACAGTATCAGGCTCCAAGCCCATAAACTGAGAACAGACTAATGTCTAAATTCTGACATCTATGAATATCTTTAAAATATAATTTTGTTAAAAACAAAATTTTTACCATGTTTGAATTGGAATATTGAACAAACCTGCAAAATTTTAATATCGTATATATATGTAAATATAAATTACAAGCTATTCCAAATCAAAATATCTCAGTTTATGATCTTGGGACCGGGTGTCATTTAGAAATAAGGATACCTATCGACCGATCATATCTTCAATGTAGGTATACTTTTTTCCTTATTGCATTGCGCCTTGAATTCTCTCTATCATAAAAAATGTTTTAGGATATACGTACGAGGGCCGTTCAAAAATTACGCGGACTGTGCTATTATTTACTCTTACAGACGTCATATAGTTATAAAATTTCACAGAAATATGTATCTTAAAGATTCCAATAAATTTTATAAAATTTCTGTATTTTAAAAAAATTCTACTAAAATTATCGGTATGTTGATATCGTTGATGGAGAGGTACGGCGCACGACAAAAAAATTGAAGCAAAAGCATGCGGATTCAAAAATTTAACTCATTGATTTTCTAAAATTGGCTATATTTTTCAACAATTTTCTCAAATGTACCTTTAAATTGTATTATTATTATGTATATAGATTTCGGACGTAATATTTAAAGTACTAACAGAAATATAGTGATTTTTCTCTGATGCAATTCCCGTGAAAACGTCTGTGAGAATGACGTCTCCTGAATTGACGGCGCACCACACTTTTGTTAAAATATGTGTAATGCTCGAGATATCGGCAACATAGATCCAAAATATGCATAATAAAACATGTAGTAAAATAGGTTACTCGTGACATTCGCCCACAAATAGCAAATTGAAATTTTAGACAGTTAGACCTCTGTAAAAATGCTATACCGGAGGACGTGAAGAAGATTATAGACGAAAAGTTAACTTTATCCGGACTGTAAAGAACGTGATTGAGAGTTACCAATATAACACTATATCTCATAAGTAGTTTTTGGTTTTAAAACAAAAAAAAACAATATTCTTTACTTGTTTAATAGATTTTAAGCTTGACAAGAAATGGTGTTTTTATGTTGAGTAGATAAGGTAACTCAAACTATACAGGTACTCAAGGGAAAATGTTGAGAAAAAGAAAGCTCAATCACATATTTTTTATAATGCTTGTGACGTCGAAGATTTTGCTGCGCCGTGACTTAATGGTATGTCCTGAAAAATCACTCAAAATTAATACCAATTTACAACATTTTGATATGAAATTTTGAAGACCATATAAGTAAAGATTCTTTTATATTATTTGTGAAATTTTGCCTGATTATGTCGTCAAATATTTCTTCTGTGCAACAAGTCCGCGTAATTTTTGAACGGCCCTCGTATGTAAGCGAACAAGGTATTTAAAATAAGCCAAGAAAAGAACAACCTGACTTTCAGGGTTGGGCGAATTCAATCCTGAACCCAATGGTGTGAGTGAAAAAGCGCAAATTTATAAGCGTATTTTCTTCATCATCTCCCATATTCACATAGACAGTGCCATAGATCCTCTCCTAAGGAGTATAAAAACTCACATTTATGTCTTTTTATTTTATTTCTTAATTCACAGAAAGATCAAAAACAATGTAGTTCTGTGCATATCTATATTATTAAATATTTATACTTTTGAAAAGGGAGAACAACAGAGTTTTATAACATCTTTAAACTGATGTTTTATTTACAATTTAAACAATTTTTGGCAAACTCTCCAAGATCACTGAAGGGATCGGTATTTTCAAGTCCAAAAGTTCCGAAAGACATGAAAAATTTTGAAAAATTAATTTTCTCCAGCAAATTTTCAGATCTGTCTCTGGGGACTGCACCCTGGACTCATATATTGTTTAGCGTTCATATCAAATTTATTTGGTGGTTAGGTTGACGTATTTCTCGAGCCTCTCCATCTCCTTGTGGGCCACGTCTATTTCTTTCTGGATGCGGGCTTCCTCCCTGTTTTGTTGGGCCCGTTCCTGCTTTTCTGCCTGTGTCTTCTCTTGACACTCTCAAAAAGAACAAAATAGCCACAATTCTAGATTTATATCTTGTTTGACAGCCTGAAGAGCCATACATGTATAAAAAACAATCAAAATACAGGGTTTCCAAAATGTTGCTGTAATTATAATTATCGCCACTCAGGTAAACAAATGTTTTTCATACCTTTTTTCAAAATTAAACATAAGCAACAGTTAAATCTATTCTCCTTGAAAAGTGTAAACACACAGAAGAGAAAGCAGTATTCATATTTTATATTGATGGGAAATTTAGTATTTACATACTTTTCCAATCCTCAAAATTATCTTTCCTTTTACTCTCAAGCAGTCTGGTCGGGGGATTCCTTGGAGTATCCTCGGAGACAAATGTAAGATCAAAGGCCACGCCTCCTCTTTTCTCTGTGACTTCCTCCGTGATCATGGCTTTCCGTACTTTTTCGTACGCCTCTGCCTCTTCCTTCATTATGCCTACTTTGTTTTTTCGAGCTAAACAACTCTGAAGAAGACCCATGATGATGTCTTTCCAGAATGTTAAGTTTGCATCTAGTAACAAAGCTTCCGTCGATCAATTGTGGCGTCACAATTGATTATGACGTCACGAATACAAGCAAGGTTTTCTGGTAGACGTAAAAGCATTTCCTTGAGGTTCCAATCTTGGTAAAGCAAATATTATGGTAAAAAATCATTATTGAAAAACTAAATATTGGCAATTAAAAAGACATTTATATAAAAATTATTTTGTTTCCAATTTTGGTGCTTTTTAGCAAATTAAAGGAGTTTTGAAGATGGTATGTTCGATTTGGTTGTTTAAAGCTTATGTAAAGGTTTTCCTTTCTCCAGTGAAATCAAACACTGAATCCGAGCAGCAAAATATGCTTATAAAGATGCTTGAGAACAGGACCCCCCGCCCCCTTCGATATAGACCCCTGAGTCTTTTTGACTTTTTTTTCTCATAAATTATCTTTTACTGAAATATTTGTGATAAAATCTATGCCAACAATTCAAAAAAAAAACAAAAAAAAAAAAAAAAAAAAAACTTAAAAAAAAAAACAAAAACTTAAAAACAAAAGTTTTATAAATTCTATCCAACATTCTAGGGCCCTGATTTGGAATAATAAAACATTCATATAGAGTGGGGTAGAAAATTTTATGAAATGTTTGTTTAAGCAAATTTTCTGAAGTGATAGAATAGGTTGTATCACAAATCATAATGTATCATGTATCATTCATTTAAAATTTATGTGAAAAAAACCAAATGTCAGTATTTTTTGAAAGCAAGAACACAGTGTTGGGCGTGCATCAAAGTAACTCGGATTTCTAAAGTCTTAAAGGCCCGGGGGTCTATATTGCGGGGGAGAAGGGCTATCTTCAAGCACCTGTACTCACAACAACATTAATCATCGTATAGTTTAAGGAAAACTTTTTTATGTTTGACAGTATTTATTGCATTGTGTTTTGAACAGCACGGAGAATATAAACGATTATAAATGATTAAAATATTTGTTTTAGGGAAAATGAATATCGTTTATCTTGCTCTCTTTTAAAGCGAATGAAACAATGAAAGACTTAACAAAACAGTGTCATATTTTGTGCGGAGCTTCAATATGTCAGCCCCCATATTAGTCCCACGGGATCAGTAAATTAATATTGTTTTGATGTTTTATATGATGATTAAAGATATCTAGAGGCAAAAACATTTCACACATCATGATTGGAGATTTAGTATCAGGCTCAGAATCTTCAAAGCTTGTTCTTATTGAAGGTAGAAAGATTTACTAATATTTTCCACTCGATCCAGGTGCAAGAAAAACGCTTTAATAGTTAGAATTTACTCGAATGAGCCCTAACTAGTAACTGTCACACTATGCATGTTAATTCATTTCACATATCACTCTGCAGCATATCTCTGGATAATTTTATGTATTTCATATTTACAGATTCCATCGACGCCTGTGGAAGAAATCTTCTATTGTCTTACATCCTATCCTTATCAAATAGGTATGGCGGAAATATGGAGGTGACAAACACTCGAAAGATTAATCAAGCTCACACTCCACTAGTTCAACACTTAAAAATTCTATTATATTTAACATGTTTATAGACAGCATTTATTCTGTTAGTTTTGATAATCTTCTAGTACTACTTAAAACTTCTGAAAAAAAAACAACTGGACCTGTAAACAACATGGTAAAGTTTAAACTTCCATTAGATCTGGATTGGATTTTACAATTACATAATGCATTATAGAAAAACATTTCTCCAAGGCAAATTATTTTCTTGATATTGATATTGAAGCATTGGTAATTGTTGTGTGGATATTTAATTAAAAAATTGTTGGGCTCACATTTCAGAGTAGATGAAGTTCACCTCATTTTATATGATGTCAGAGCCCAGGACACTTGTGAAGAAATCAAATCATTGGGAGTTCAAAAGTATGTTTATTTTTTAAAGTCATTTATTTATGTTAAGCCTAGAAAAAAAAATATGTTTGTTTCCGCTTTCAGACTGAAAAAATATAGGGTAGGTAGGTAGGCAATTTTTTTTTTCTTTGAAAAAAATTTTTTGCTTCTTTAATCAAAACGTGCATAGAAGTAACATTAATGACAAAAGAAATGGTGTTTTCAAGCATTACTGTGACTTAACTTATAATAGAAAGGTGACCCAAACTTCTTTCTGTCTTGAAAAGCTTGCAAAGTTGGAGGCTATAATTCCCTGGTTGAAATCTTGCACATCATGGGACAAAAGCATTAAAAAAATATTTAGGGTCGGCACTATAAATTAGGGTCGGTCGGGAAAGCGGAAACAAACATATTTTTTTTCTAGGCCTTATAATCATCTTAAAGAAATCATTACTTGTATTTAATGTTGAGAGAGAGACTCAGAAAGACATTTTAAATTTGCATCAGACAAAAATAATGCAATACCTATAAGAAACTGAGCAAAAAAAAGGCCTTATTTATAATTTTATTGTATTTATGCATACTGAATATTGGTAGACTTCATTAGTAATAACTGTCTATTTTGCGAGTCTGTCCATCTCTCAGCATGCATAGGACAGGCCCATAGGAATAAAGGGAAAGTGGCACAACCAAATGTTTTCAGTTTTGGAGACAAAGAGGACTGCCAAACAAAATTTCCTTGACAAATTCATAAAATGGGTACAGAACTAGTAGCTTGAAGATTCGTTCTTTTATAGTTTATTATACATGGACAAAATTACCGGGTATACAATCTCTAGGATGGTTCTGCTTTCTCTCTCAGCCACTTGTACAAACACACATACAACTGCCTAATGATATATTTTGCAAGAAATTTGGTTCTCTTCAATAAAAAGAAAAAAATATTTTGTGTTAAAATTTCTCAATCAAAAAACAATTATAATTATTTGTTTTTAAAGTGTCAAAGTACATGATGCATCAAAAGATCTTCTTGGATGGGAAAAATCCCCTGGGCTAGGACTTCACACAGACCTCAAGGCTTACATAAAAGAAAGAATATCTCATGGGAGCAAATCTGTGGGAGTGGTATTGGATTCTCTAAGTCCTTTGTTGACACACACATCTCCTCCTTTTACATGCAAGACTCTTCATGGACTGGCCTTTTCTGCAGATCTAGGTATTTGTAATCTAAAACATTTTTTTTCTGTAATCTAAAACAGTTTTATTAAATGATCATACATTTCTTTCAAACACTTATGAGACACAGATATTATTTTAACAAGTATGGATGTCTTGCAGGGTCACAGGTTCAACAGGTTGTTGGTTTAATCCATGGGGATCTCCATGACGACAACAGCCTCACTTTGATTCATCACACTGTTACAACAATTCATAAACTGGTGCCAGCCATAACATCTTACTCAATGTTTTGCTGCAATACACTACACAAGAAAGCCTCAGGAAAAGTGATCAAAATTGTAAGTGAAGAATGATTTTTATGCCAATTTTACTCCTTCTAGTAAAATGTATGGCATGGGTATAGGAAAAAATACAATATCTGTAAACTACATAAAAGTTAGAGCATTGTAGAATTTGATTTCTGATGCATGCATGGTTGAAAAATATTTTTGATATTGGAAGAGCGGACCTTTATTATAAAATGGTGATCTGCAGATTTATTATCATTTTTATACTTAACATCTGCAGTAACTTTATCTTTATGTGAAATTAATTTCTACATATATATATGTAACTATCTGAAGATTTATTCAATATTTCTTGTAAAATTTATGTCCTTTGTTGTAAAAATAATTCTATTATGTTTGATTGTGGTCTTGCCTTTGCAGAATTTAAAAGCTACTGCTCTGAAACAGTAAAAATGATTTCTGTATATACATAGACTACCTACATCAATGTATCACAAAATTTTTTGGTATTTTCAGAAAGAGAGTTTCAACATAACAGAGGACTTTCGAGTCACAGGTGTTGCTGAAGTAAAGCAGCTAACTCAAAGTGTCCCTCAGGATCAGAACCAGGTAATATCCGTTTGGTAACTTACATGCCACATTTAAATCAGAACAAAGTTATAGAAAATTTCTGTCACTAGTTTAAATAATTTGCTATAATCTACCCAACAGACAGACCCTGCAGCAAACCTCCCATTCAATTTATCATTGTCTGAAAAAGAGAAGGAGGCCAGGAGCCAAGTCATCCTCCCTTATACAATCAACAAAGAAAGGTAGGACTCATCGATTTTTACCTCTCCTGCTACTCTTATATTTGGAGAATAAATTTTATGTGGTAGTACAGTGCAATGACATTGACTTATTAACATATACCAATATAAGTACACATAATCTGAATAAGTTCAAGTAAAATACTGCTTTATATATTATAGATGTAAGTAGCAAAAAATGAATGATATGAAATAATCGTAAACTATGTCAAGTCTTGACACTATGAACTGATTCTTACTGCAGTACATACATGTTTCAGTAATCATTATGTGTACTGTATGTGAATCCTTCCTTTTGTCTTGCAGACAGGAATCTGTACTGGCTAAATCTGTGGGAGAAGGGAAGATTTTTTATCAACCAGATGAAGCTGATGATTTTGATGAGGAGGATCCGGATGATGACCTTGATATTTGAACTTTTGCCCACTGGGTTCATGTATACTACATTCAGAAGGATAATATTTAATATCTAGTAAAACCAAAACAGGCAACAATGACTTCAGCACAACGTTATATCGACTCCTGATAAAAAAAAAACTTATAACTGAGCATTGCATTTATGGACTGAGTTAATGAATAAATGAATTTCCTTTTTTGTCTCCATAAATCTTTTTAGTGTTAGCACGACATTTTACAGCATTGTAGGACTCTCATCTATGGCCAGTATTTTGAAATGAACATAAATTCAAATAATTGAAGATACACTGTATGTTATTATGTAAAGATATCATCAATTACACATAGATACTGTACATGTTTTGTCAAGTCAGGCATGGAACAATTCAATTTGATTTTTTTTTTTTAAATTAAAGATATATTTAATTCTAGATCTGAATCAATGCTTGTTATTATTTTTATGCATTCCTATGTAGAACTGTCTCTTGTGGCCTTGTCCTAGTATCGACATTGCTTATAGTGGCTCATCCAATCCCTGGGAGTTATGCTTTAAACACTTGAAACAACATGCATGTACACTATCAATGAAACAAACTTGAAACTACTTCATCAGTGAAGTATCATACATGTATGTTTCATCACTTCACCTTTTGAGAAAATTTTTAAAAGACTCCCTTAATCTTTAACTATTTTTAAAATTATCTCCCCTTGAAATACCCATGTACAACATTTGATACTTCATTTGATCAAATATTTGAATTTTCTTTGCTCAAGGATGCTCTGTGGTTATAGTTTAAATGAAACTGGTTCAGTGGTTCTTCACATGAAGTAAAAACTGTGACAGTTTACCAATGACAGATGCCAGAAAATAGACAGACAATGGTCACCTTTTAATCAGAAGACCTCACTTAAACCTCTGAAGTTATTTGGATTCAAGTTTTCAAGTTAAAGATCAACTTAATTTTCTGCAAGTAAACAGGAATTAACTTTTTTTTTTAATTTAAAATTGCATGAAGAAAAGTAGCACATGAATATTGAAGCATCTGGCTACATTCCCATGTTGTGTGGATTCAAGTTTGGTTCAGTCATGACCCCTTTGAGGCTAAGATGGGATCCCAATTGAGGTCAAAAATGGTTATAGGGATGAATGTCACAGAACTCTGTCTGCCAAAAAAAAAGTTCTACCAAAGTTATTGGCATACTTTTAAGCAAAATGCCAAATTTTACACCTTCTACAGCAAGCCTGCACTATATGGTATATTGTAATCCTTCTGTTACATTTTTTATATAAACTAAACAAGAGGCCCATGGGCCACATTGCTCACCTGAATAACTTGGGTGATGCTGTTCTTTACCAGATTTCCCCTCTTGCTATACCTATCGTGCCCCCTACCCCCTCCCCTTAAATGATTTTAATACTTTAGAATCTTCACTACCCAAGGATGTTTCCACATAAGGTTCAGCTTTCCTGGCCCAGTGGTTCTTGAGAAGAAGATATTTAAGGATCTGTTCTATACATTTCTATGTAAAACTTGGACTCCCTATTGTGGCCCCGCCCTACCCCCGGGGTCATGATTTTAACAATTTAATATCTACACTACCCAAGGATGCTTCCACATAAGTTTCACCTTTCCCGGCCCATTGGTTCTTGAGAAGAAGATTTTTAAAGATTTGTTCTATATATTTCTATGTAAAACTTGGATTCCCTATTGTGGCCCCACCCTACCCCCGGGGGTCATGATTTTAACAATTTAATATCTACACTACCCAAGGATGCTTCCACATAAGTTTCACCTTTCCTGGCCCAGTGGTTCTAGAGAAGAAAATTTTTAAAGATTTGTTCTATATATTTCTATGTAAAACTTGGATTCCTTATTGTGGTTCTGCCCTACCCCCGGGGGTCATGATTTTAACAATTCAATATCTACACTACCCAAGGATGCTTTCACATAAGTTTCACCTTTCCTGGCCCAATGGTTCTTGAGAAGATTTTTTAATGACCCCATCCATTTTTTGTCTTTTCTTGATTACCTCCCCTTGGAAGGTGACTTGGCCCTTCATTTTAACAATTTGAACTCCCCCTCACCCAAGGATGCTTAGTACCAAGTTTGGTAAAATTTGGTCCATTGGTTCTTGAGAAGAAGTCAAAAATGTGAAAAGTTAACAGACCGACGGACAGACGGACAAAATGTGATCAGAAAAGCTCACTTGAGCCTTCGGCTCAGGTGAGCTAAAAATCAGAGAGACAAATAGCATGTGTTGAAATTTATTTTATTTAAATTGAAAAATTCATTTAATTCTGACAGTTTTAAATACTGTGGCTCCTCCTGCATCATTTTCAGAATTTTGGTATAAAAAAAAAAATAGAAAGTCTAATCCAAACTCTGTTGGCACAAGTTTTCTCCTGAGTAACACAACATATATCACAGTCTCATCCAAATGTTTATTTCTAAAAAAAAAAAAAATTAATGTCTATGTCGTAATTTAAATTTGTATAATCCAGGGGCCAGAACTGGGAGGAACATGTGCAGAACTACAGCAGTTAACCCCCAAATTCTGTGTTCCCCTCCAAGGAATACAGGCAGGGTGTAGCCAGACTGAAGGGAGGGCAGTTTTCCTCTCCTGAACTGGGTGGATCCAACATTTTTGCTATCACAGAGTGATGAAACTGTTCTGGTAAAAACATTCTCTACCTACCAAAAGAGAGTGATTTTTCCCTCTAAATGAATGTGTATTGTTTTTAGACAAAAACAAGAAAACAAATTATTTCATTTGAAAGATAGGTCTTTTAAAACAAGAATTTTTATACTATACCTCAGCCTTGTTAAGATTAAGCTTGTGTTTTTCTAGTTCACCCACACTTGCAATGATAGGGGTCACAAGATTTTTACCATCCTGCTGAAATAAAGGGTACATATTAAAATTAATATGGTAAAATTCAGTTTTAACAAAGTGACTCAAGTCCTGTGGACCTACTTTGTAACTACAATGCTTTATATCTACCAGTCTATAACAAGTCAGTGATATATATAGTGAACAAACAATGCACAGTTTTTTCCTTCTCTTATTACTGAATATTTTCATTGAGCATTTAATAAGAAACATACCTAGGACATTTTGTAAAATGAGGTTTGCTGTATACAGGAAACTGATTTTTTAAAAATGATTTTATGTGCAGATATACATAAGTACATGTATATGGTCTCTCAAAATTAGAGTTCATTATTTAATGGTAAATCTTATCTTGTGGCTGATACTAAATGCCATCACAGATTACATGTAATAATGAAAACAAATGCTTTTGAGTTATTTAAAGAAGAAGGTATGGTTTTAGCTTTATAGCGCCCTAAAAATGTAATGACATCAAAAAGTTTTGAAACTGGCTTAAATATTTGTTAAATAAATGACTCGGATAAATCAGGAAAGAATATGGCATGAAGGTTTACCGTTCTGCAAATATGACGTCATTAATGTGAAGCATTTCTCAATTTAAGCAGAAAAAGCCTCAAAATGGTACATTTCAAGGGTGATTTTCCTTTATAAAACAGTGTCCACAGCCGTCGCCCACCTTAATTTTTTGATATTTTGTGCAAATTCAATAACAAATCACATATCTCAAGATCTTTGTGGGCGATGCCTGTGGACAATGTTATCTGAAAGAAAATTCCATTGAAAATTGGTGTCTTCTGCAATTTTTAAAGAAAATACGGGAAAATGCACATGTTTATGATGTCATAATTAGCATTTAAAAACACATGTGAGAAAAATGACTTGTATGATTTTTCTGCATTGAATTTCAATTATTCAAAAAGCATGAGTTTTCAACTTTTACACCAGTTTCATTTTTTAGAAAATCACAGGGCAAAATTTGTACGGAAACCATACCTTCTTCTTTTACTGTGGTAAAAAATACCATGTACATAGAATTAACATGTACATTATCATAGAATTTTTAAAAGTCAAGTGTTAAAAATAGTTTCAAGGAAAACAGAAAAATAAATAAAAAGAATTTGTGCATGGGTCAGACAAATTTTGTACATTGTACAATCTCTAAGAGTGGAGAAATTTCTCACCCTACTTGGCAAACTCTGGAGTGATCCCCAGACATCCTCCCTGGCAATGTTCAAACCGATTTCCTCCTGTGTTTCACGGAGGGCAGTTTCTATCAAATCCTGGTCTGTGTCATCCATCATTCCTCCTGGAAAACTTGAAAACAATGACATATTCTATTAGATATCTGTAAACACTAAACAGAGAAATTTCTTGAGTGCCTCTTGCTAATAATAATTATATTTAAACATTACAGTAATAACAAAATTCTATGCTCTATCATTTTTTTTAATTCTAATTAACCATAATTAATACAATAAAGATATGTTCTGTTTTTTTATTTTTATGTGTGTGTGTGTGTGTAATATGAAAATTTTTGATTAATACATGTAGCATAATTAGGTATACCAAGTATTTGTAACCGAAATCAAAGATTTCACAGTTCAACAGATTCTGAACATATTCCTAAGATGCGCAGCATAATATACAACTTAACACAAACAAAGATATACAAGATATACCAAAATATAACTACTTTGCTTTGGGAAAATTCAGTCAAGAAAACGAGAAGTATTTTCACAAAGACCTACCTGACTTCACCTCTGTGGGTGGGAATTAGGTTTGACCTCACCATAAACAGTAAAGATGGCTCACCATTCACTGTACACAGAGGGACTAACACTGCAGCTTTCTTGTGATTGTCTGAGACAGTCACTTTTCTTATCACAGACTTCTCATTTAAATTATTTTGTAACTTGTTCTGAAGTCTTCTTTTGTTTTCCTCAGACAAAAGATTTTCAAATGTCACTTTGCCTTCATTGTTCAAAACACGGCTACTATGATACAGTTTACATTGCTTGCAGATACTCCCTCTTCTGGGCATGAGCCTTGTGCTGTGGAATATATTTGCAAGAAGAAACTTTGTTCCTGGGATAAAATGCATTTTCTTCAAATTCTTAATTCCTAAATATCCCAGCTTTACATTTATTGGATATTCTTTTGGAAGAAGTCAACAAATTACCATCCTTGTGAAGTGATATCAAGGCTCATTTCTTAATAGTATACCTGCAAAGCCATAAATAGGACAATTAATCAGCTTGTAAATATTAGCTATATGTAATAATATCAAATGCTATATTCTATCTAAAA